AGGTGAGCACTCTATCACTGAGCCACAACCCTAGCCCAGAAACCCCAATTTTACAATTAGTTTGTTTCTCTGCCTCAGAATGTTCTTTAAAAGAAATCAGTGATACCATTTGAAAATTGAAATTGARCTTTGATTTCTATTTAAATGGAAGAACAGCAGAGTTTGCTGTAGTAAATTAGTACTGATGATAGAAATGGGGGAGGACTCACAAACATTTTAAGACAAACCAGAATGAAGTTTAAATGTTACTTTGGAAACTTTTATATTGGAAAATTTTAAGCCAAACTAGGGAGCACATCAAATTCTAGTAAGACTGTTCTGATTAGAGTTTTTTACATTTGGTTTTATTAATTAGACCTTTTTTCTTTTGTACTGTTCAAATTCTGTTTAAAACCCTATGTGTTAAGGAAAAGTTAACTACCAGTTGGTAGTTTTTGGTTTTGTATAATCACCGACATAATGTTAATGAAGCACAAAATGGATACAGCTCTTGTCCAGTGGTAATTGGAAAGAAAATAGGTCTCTCGMGTCAGAACTGTCAGAGATGAGACTCCTTGTTGAGGTTCCTCAAATGGAAACCTATCTATCAACAGACTTTCCTGTCCAGGAAGAACTATGTTGTAACTTGTGACAGTCCCTGCTCCTCATGTTTACATGCCTATCTGAAGTCAGAAGCCATCATATAAATAAAATACTATGTCAGAAATAGAAATGACCATTTTTCTAAAATGTGTGCCATAGCAGTATTTGTTTTGACTAGAAGAAAAAAGAAACAACTGGTCGTTTTATTTATTTGTCTTTTTTTGCCTAGTATAAGAGCTTAATGTATTGTACCTTTATTTTATGTATTTATTTTTATGTGGTGCTGAGGATCRAATCCAAAGCCTTGCATGTGCTAGGCGAGTACTCTACCGCTGAGCCACAACCCCAGCCCTGTGTACTTTTATTTTTTTAAAAAATATATTTTTTAGTTGTAGATGGACAGAATACCTTTATTTTATTGTATTTGTTTTTATTTTTATGTAGTGCTGAGGATCGAACCCAGTGCTTCACCTATTCGAGGCAAGYGCTCTACCTCTGACCACACCCCCAGCCTCTATAAAGTGTTCTGGTTATAACCCTTAAATCTGTTTAAGAAAATTTGACAGGCATGACCAGTCTGTCTTCACCTTCTTATCCACAGCTTTGCACAAACTAATCACAGTTAAATTTTAGCATCTTCAAACAGGGACAAGTGGGTTAAAAATTATACTAATTGATATAAAACCAGTGATAGTTAAAGTAGTTGGCTATTTTTTAAAATTCATATTATACAAAACTGAGATGACCTAATTTCCAGCATCCCAGTCAAAATAAGTGCCCAGGCATAAGCTGCCAGGGTAGATTTCAGAYAAAATTATGTGAAGTGTTTTTATTGTTGTTTGTTTTGTTTTGTGTTTGGAGCTCAAACTGCAGATTGATTAACTAAATTTGTTTCTCTAAAGTGTACTTCTTCAACCAGTGTTTGAAATTGAAGTTGAATTTCTTATTGTAGAACCCAAAGTATCTTCTGTTAAAAGAAGGYGTAGAAGGCTGTTAAAAGTATACTTTGCCGACCCAAACATGAGCCTCATCATCTTATTAAGAAATGGGTGGTATACAACCAAAGATATGAAAAACTGTGCTCTATATGTGTAATATGAATTGTAACTCATTCTGCTGTCATATATAACAAATTTTTAAAAAATGGGCAGGGTACTTGAACAGACATTTTGTCCAAACAGCCTTACATAGATTCTCTTGTTCCCTGTTCTGACACTGGCCACCCTGATAGCTGTTAACACATGCCCTGCTCCATAGGTCATTGCTCACTTTCTAGACAAGTGCGTCCTAACTCTTTCAGTGAGAACTTTAAAGGGGGAAGCCAAAAATGTACAGCCCCTGTACATTTTTTATTTATTTTTTGTTCTCCTGATTAAAAAAAAAAGTATTTGACAAAAAGGTACCTGAATTTATCTAGTAATGGTAAATGCCTAAAGATTTTTTTGTTCTTGTAACAATGCTTGGTCTTTTCAGTGGATTCTCAGCTCTTTYACCAGAACTACTCAGGGGCCCATATGTTAGCGATTCCCAATTACTGAATCTTCTTCAGGGCTTCTGTTAGGCATTTATGATTTCAACTACAGTTGATACTGTTTCACATAGTGTTTGTATTTCTTATAACCAATCTTTTTTCTCTTTTTGAAGCTTAACTTTTTTTTTATGTTTATTTAGTTGTAGATGAACACATAGTATCTTTATTTTTATGTGGTGCTGAGGATCGAACCCAGGGCCTCACACATGTGAGGCAAGCGATCTACCGCTTGCTGAGCCACAACCCCAGCCCTTGAAGCTTAACATTTTTTCCTTGTTATATAGTTATGTGGTGTACTTGATTCCTTAACTCCCTTTCTAGACACTAAAAACTTTCAGGAAATTTTATACACAAAACTGAAAGCAGGGTAAATTGCAAAGTAATGATCTTGATTTGGATTTCTAGATATGTATCAGGTGACAAACTATAAAATGTTAAGGCTCACAAGCATTCCTAACTGCCCTATTTTGAGTTATCTGTTCCCAAATGCAAACCACTATCTCAAAAAAAGCACTATAGGAAGCTTTTTAAATTCAGAGATTCTAGGCTGGGAGGGATCCAAGGAATCTTTATTTCAAAAGCCCCGTAGTTTATTTTGATGCTCAGTGAAATTTTTCTGTATAGTTTATAAAATCTGCTTATAATGGCATTGTTAAACTCCCCCCTCCCCCTAAATACTAAGGAGCCAGCAGAATTTGGGCCTAAGCTAACATGTCACCTAGGGTTAGGCTGATCTTTTTTTCTAGGCTGACTTCTTAGCATCATCAAGTTGGATATGAAGAAAATAGTAGGGGTCATCTTGGAATACAGTTAGTGGATTTTAGAGAGCTTTTCTGTACAAAGAAACCTTTGCCTTTAAGACTATATCATGAAATAGATAAGAGATTAGAAACAGAAATTTATTTCTCAGTTTCTGGAGGATAGAAATCTAAGATCAAGGCACTGGGAGCTTCAGTGTCTGGTAGTTAGTTTCCAGGTGGCTGTCTCTCACAGGACAGGGAGAGTTAGGGGTTTGTGTGTGTGTAGACTGAAACCACCCCCACTCATGACCTACTTTCATGACCTAATCTCCAGTAGCCCCCACCTCTTAATAACATCTCATTGTAGGTTAGGATCTCAACATATTGGAGGGAGGGGACACAAACATGAAAGCAAGCTTCTGATGACAGAGGACCAGTTTTAATCTCACTGGAGAGGATACAGCATGTTCCTAGAAGGAGAGGGCTGATTAAGAGCCTCAGTGTTGAAAATTATGGTCAGAGATAATGTAAAAGCAGGAAGTCACTTTAAAAAAAAAACACAAAGATAAAAACTTGTTTTAGTTTGGATATATATTTAATAGTTCCTGGGTATACTATTATCCCTAAGATTTTTTAAGACCATACTGTTCGAGCCCATGGGGATATTAATTATCTGTGATCACTGAGTCTCTTGCTCTCATTCTCTCTCATTCCTGTGAAGCAGGTGGTGTAAAGCTAGGCTTAGATTTAGTAACTTGCTCAAAGTCCCATGGTAAGTGCTCCAGTCAGTTTCTAAGCTCTTTCTGCCTATGGCCAGCTCAGTTTGGGCCCCATTCTCCCTCAAGATCGAAATGTCATTTTCTCATGTTTCTATTGTTTCTCCCACCCTAAATTTCAGACTGAAAGAAAAAAAAAAAAAACAAAACCATAGACTAACAGGCTAGTACATGAGCATTCAACAACTGAGTGAATAAATCCAGTTTGTGCCACACACAAAGAGCAGTTTGCCTTAGTTTTCAAGTCTTTCTAAGCACAGACCTTGTTTACCTGACACACATCATTCTTCASGCAGCTGTTATGGTGAAGGTTGTAACTAGTCAGTCTACACCATTAACCGTGTTACAGCCATGCAATAGCAATTCCCAGTTGTTTTGTCTTTTTCTCTCAACACCACAATACTTCATTTCATGATTTGGACAGGAATGTTAAGCTCTTTGTAGATGTTAGAATTGGAGGGTAAAGTTTTTAAAAATTGTGTTAATGTACTTGATACAAAGCCTGCTGGAAGCCAATACAATGCTTTGGAAGTGTATTATGGTGAAACTCTGGTATAGCTGAGTGTATTTAATAGGTTGAATTAATGTTGCGACTATAATAGGGAAACTCAGTAGCAGAAATTAATGTATTACTGGATATTGTCATTTTCTTCCCATCTGGCAAAGTTTATAATGTAATTACAATAGTTTATTAGATTCTTTTGTTTTAATTGTGTGTAATATGTGTAGATTCCTTTTTAAAGTTAAGATAATTGAGATAAAGAGCAAGAAAGCACAGCTGCACCAGTTATTGGGTCATAAAATGAAACKTGTTGAAAATGGTCACAAGTAATGATGTAGCTCAGAGGAAAATCTTCAGTCATTTGCCACTAATTTAGCTTCTATGTAATCATGTCTTTTTTGTGTTTGTTTTAAGTACCTTTTTTGTGGGGAGGAGTACTAGGTTTGAACYCGGGGTACTTTACCTCTGGGCTCCACCCCAACCCTTTAATTTTTGAGACAGGGTCTTGCTTAGTTGCCCAGGCTAGCATTGAACKTGGAAATCCTCCTGCTTCAGCCTGCCGAGTTGCTGGATTATAGGCATGCCCCACCATGCCTGGCTGTTTTCATTTTCTTGTGTGACAAGGAGAGGTGTGAGAGTTGAGGGATGTTTCTTGCTTGGTGACAGCTAAGTGAACTTAGAATGGATTTAATATTCTTTTACATCCAATTTTTTTTTACTAATAGCTGATGGGTTTGTTGCAGTTTTATCAGATTGTTCCTGAAAGGCACAATTTTGTGAAGAAAATGAAAATATTTAAAAGGGAAGAGATATAGTGTAAAATTGGGATAATGCCACCACCTACTTATCTGGTATATATTACTTCACAGTGCTGGTCCCAAAGGTGATAACATCTATGAATGGAGATCAACCATTCTAGGGCCTCCAGGATCTGTGTATGAAGGTGGTGTATTTTTCCTCGATATCACTTTTACACCAGAGTATCCCTTCAAGCCTCCAAAGGTAAGAAATGGCCCTGATTTATGCTCAATATCTCTCATAATTCCTATGAGAATAAAATTTAATTACTGACAAAAACTATAGATTTTTATTATGTCCTAATGAACCTTAAGAATATTTGAGCATACCAAATACCACTTGGGTTTGCCTCATTTGCCAGAGACCATTTCTAAATTATGCCATTTCTGGTAACTTTGTTAGCAATCAATAATTGATTCCTTATTTTCCACCCCACAGAAACATTTCTTTACAATTAAAATAGTATGATGATACTTACACAGTCAAAAACTGAAACACTTAATCTTCTACCGAAGTTTTGGATTCTGTTTTTCTGTCATCTTTGGTCTCATTCACATCCTTACCTCTAGGCCTTTCTTTTTACACTAGTATAATTAAAAACTGCCTAACTCCCTCATGTCTATTATAACTACCCAATAGTCTCTGGTTCTCATCTGAACTGTCAGGAGAACATGTTGGGGAATGGGTAGAATGAATGCAAGAAAAGTTGGGTCTTTTTTTTTTTTTTTTTTTTAATGGTGGTCACAGAGAATTTTTACATTTCAGGGTGCATTACAAAAATTAGGAAACCAAAGTAACTCATTACCGACTGCTCAGTTGTGGAAATATTAATAAATTCTGTCATTTAGGTAAATATACAGATCTGATATGCAGGTCAAAAAAGGGAAATATACTTCAAATTTTGTACTTTTTTGGGGGGGGTGTAGCCATTTTTTGCTAGTTTTTTTAAAAAATATATATTAGTTGTTGATAGATCTTTATTTATTTATATGTGGTGCTGAGAATTGAACCCAGTGCTTCACGCATGCCAGCCAAGAGTGCTACCACTGAGCCAAAGCCCCAGCCCCTGTTTGCTAGTTTTTAAAGCATTTATGATGACATAAGATTCTCAATATTTGATTCTGATGCTTGCTTTGAACTAGTGTAGTACTACCTTCTAACACAAGAGGTCAGCAAATAGCTGTTCAGACTTGGAAATGTTAATATTTAAAAGGTTAAAATTGCTACATGATTGAGGAAGTATTACATCTCCTTTGCTTTGGTCAGAAGTCATTACTTTAAAAGGAAATTCAYAATTCAAGGTGGGATCAAATGAATGTTTCCTAGCCTCAGATTTATTAAGTCTTACCTGTCTTGTCAGCTTTAAACTATTATTCACTTTATTAACTGGAAATATARAAGATTTTTAGTCTTACTGTTTTGAATATTGTTTGATACTTTCTTTTTTTTTTTAGGTTACATTTCGAACAAGAATCTATCACTGTAATATTAATAGTCAAGGAGTTATTTGCTTGGATATATTGAAAGATAATTGGAGTCCAGCACTAACTATTTCTAAAGTTCTCCTTTCTATCTGCTCACTTCTTACAGACTGTAATCCTGGTAAGGTTAATATAATTTTTTTTTTAAATAACATAGTTTATTTATTTATTTATTTATTTATTTATTTTAATTGGTTGTTCACAACATTACAAAGCTCTTGAAGGTTAATATAATTGTTTTATTCTTCCTCATGTGAAAAATACTTGTTTTCCACATAAACCAAGATTTTCTAAAGGTGGGGTTTGTTTTTCTAAGAACTTTCAAAGGAAGCCTTAATCAGTAAAGTTCATTCCTCTTGTTAAAAAATGGAGCAACTGCAGCATTGATACCTCCTAGAAACAAGGTATTTGAGCTGACTTTACGCACAAAGTGCCCACCCTGAACTCTGGCCATACTGAGTATTGCCTCTCAATTTYGTTACTTAATGATTGCTGAATTGTGATTTTTGTTGAGACTTCATTTCATTTTAAAAGACTTTTTTTTTTTTTTTTTTCCTGGCTAAGCCAAATGTAAGTCCAGGTTTTGACCTGACTCTTTCTAGGCAAATAGCAGTGTAGCAATAAATGGTGTTATACTGCAGTAGCCATGGGGACTTCACCATGTTCAGGGTGCTATGATGAGTGCCAAAAAACATCTAGAATGTCAAAATTGTGKTTTAGGGTGGGGATGATCACGAGTATGTTGTACACTTCTACCTACACGAAGGTGCTATTAATTTAAAATGTTCTACATTTTCTTCCAGCTGACCCTTTGGTGGGAAGTATTGCCACTCAGTATATGACCAACAGAGCAGAACATGACAGAATGGCCAGACAGTGGACCAAGAGATACGCTACATAAATTGGGTTTTCACAATTCTTACATTATTTGTCTGTCACAGAAGAAGAGCTGCTTATGATTTTCAAGGGGTGGGGGAGGGTGGGAGCTGGTAAAGAGTAGGGTATTTCTATAACAGATATTATTCAGTCTTATTTCCTAAGATTTTGTTGTAACTTAAGGTATCTTGCTACAGTAGGCAAAATTGGTAATAGCATCTTTTAAAACTGTCATTAGTTCTGCAATATTAGCTGAAATGTAGTACAGAAAAGAATGTACATTTAGACATTTGGGTTCAATTGCTTATAGTCTAATTTTAAAACAGCTTAATTTTGTACAGGTTACACATATGGCCATTTATGTAAAAGTCCTAAGACTACATACTTTTTGTTTAAAAAAAAATTGGAATTTTTTTCCCTTCTTGAAAGGGAACATTGCTATTTAACAGTTTTTAGACATTGTCATCTCATATATATAAGACACCATGTAGGAAATCAGTAGTTAATGTTATTTTATTTTATATGCAAATCTACTTTAAAGGTTTAAATCAGGACTTGTGAAAACCTGTAGTGAAATACCTTAAGCTGTTAAGGTGTGAAATAGGAGTCACTCAGTGGATTGGTTATATGTTGTAGACTTCTTATGTCTGCATTTGTTACTGTGCTAATAAACAATATTAAAACAACCACCCGCCACTGCTGTGTTGATTTACTTTGTTTTGCCTTTTGGTTGTAGATTTTTTTTAAATATTTACTTTTTAGAAGTAGTTGGGCACAATACCTTTATTTTGTTTATTTATTTTTATTTGGTGCTGAGGATTGAACCCAGGGCCTCGMACATGCTARACGAGCGCTCTATCGCTGAGCCACAATCCCAGCCCCATTTTGGTAGATTCTTTGCTTCTAAAACAATCTACTTAGTGAATCAGTATTGTTTATATTAGGATTGGTAACAGAGTTAGAGGTGTCTTAGAAAAAATTAAATAATCTAACCCATCTACATTTCCAATGAACTAACTCTACTGCATCTTTTTAAAAGCATTTCTAATTTGGAGATGCTGTGGATTCTGTTGTGGATAAATTAGTACAGCCACCTTAGAGTTTACTCCAGTAAAATCATCCAGGGGCCAGGGGCCCAAGTTCATTTGAGGATTTAAAAATGTGGTTAACTATTAACTTGATGGGTATTAATATAGATCTACATTGCATTCAATAGGAAAAACTATTACAGGGGTGTATGTAAAATACACAGGGAAGAAAGCCAGAAGGTAAGTAACTGAGAGAAGACAAGGAAAGAAAGAATACCTGAATAACTTTTCAGTCCCCTCTCATGTATTTTTTTTTATTTTTTAAATTTTTTTAATATTATTTTTTAGTTCTCAGCAGACACAACATCTTTGTTTGTATGTGGTGCTGAGGATCGAACCCGGGCCGCACGMATGCCAGGCGAGCGCGCTACYGCTTGAGCCACATCCCCAGCCCCTCTCATATCTATTTATGTGTAGTAGTCCTTGGCTTGATCTCACCAGCCTGAGCYACCCAAGTTTAATGAAAGTATCTCATTTTAAATGTTAATTATATTCTTTGCTGAATAGCTCATTTCATATTTTAAAGTCAGTTAACCACTAACCACCAAATAGCTCATTTCCTACTTCTTATATTAGTTATAATGCTGTCAACTTGCTAAATATAGCCACATTGCTCAATTCTTGCCAAAATCTCCAGCAAACCACAGAACAGTCAATCCTGTTGATCTTTTAGACCACCAATAATCCAGTATTTGCAGGATGTATTTATTACATCTAGCCAACGATTCCTAAAGATACAGTACTACTGTAAAAATGTAAGTACATTTCAAAAGAAAGAAGACCCTCTCTATTTGGCTTCTTGACAGGAATCTGGCTCAAGAAGAAAACAAAGGCCTGAATGTGATAAACCTTCTCACAGCGCCTCTCCCTACCACCTAAGGTCATCTTAAAAGAAAAAAATGGAGCATACAAAATCACAAGGCYGGGGAAGCAGCTCTGWGGTAAAGCACTTGCCTGGCATGTTGAGGCCCCAAGTTTGATCCTTAGTACCACCCACACATAAAATACGCAGACACCTAAACCATGATTTCTGTCCTATTCAGTAAAAGTCTCCATAACACAAAATTTTAGCTTATGTTGTGTCCAAATTGTTAATTGTTATTGTTCCAAACTGGGTATGTCAAAAAAAATGTTTTCTAACCCTAGTCATTAGATTACTTTATTAGTGATGTTTGAACTAAGTTTGTGTGGAGTTATATAGAATGAGTATGACAACTTTTGGAATAGGTTGGGGGGGATTTGTACATGGGTTCATTTGCACACTATCCAAACTTTATTTTACTACTCTGATAGGTGGAACATTCATAAAAACAAAACACGCTAATTTCAGGAACATATTTCAAACAGAGACTATATTTCATATCAGGCAACACTAATAAACTTAGTCCACTAACATAAAGTGCATTACATTATTTCCTTAGAGGTTTCCTTACCAACCAAGATATATACAAATGGTCTATTTTAAATATCAATCTTCACATACATAGACACTTAAAAGCAGTCACTATTCAAAAAACAATTGTGGAATTACTAATTTTTAGTTTTCAGAGCTAGAGTTCCCTTTGTTTTTCCTCCCAGGCAAAGGAAAGCTGGATTTGCTCTGGGGTTGGGATAGTTTACTGGCTAATAAAGTGAAGGGCTCAATCAGAGTTTTCCGGTCTGTGACAGTCACCTCCCACAGTCTTACTTTCTCGCTTTTTGCCCACTGCTGTGCCACCTCAGCATCCACTTGTCTCTGCTCAGAAAGGTCGATTTTGTTTCCTAATACAACAATTGCTACCTGGATGGAAAAAATGGATTAAAGAGATTATACTTTGCCAACCTCAGTTTATAATAAAGAGCACTTTACCACTGAGCCACAACCCCAGTCCCAGGATAGGCACTTCTTATATGAGTCTTTATAAACCATAGTAAGGCAAATGGATCTTATTTTTAAGTGTAAATAAGTAGAAGCCAATAGTTACTTAAAAGCTTTTTTTTTTTAAGATAACTATTATTATTTGGTAATGACGAAACACGAATGCTTTTTGCTAAGGAGATGATAAGAAGTTGGAGAAAACACTGGTCCCAGCCTACATAAAATGAACCATGTAGTGCTCAAGATATGGTGCCATTAAAATCCAATTTGTCCATGGTAAAACAAGTAAGAAGCAGAAAGTAAAATCCTAGTACTGAATGAACTTAGTCCTATAGAAAAACATGAGTTACAATACAATTTAGTGGGTTTTAAATATGTAAATGACCCAAGAAGTCATGTGCTGGGGATCAAACCCAGGGCCTCACATGCTAGGCAAATGCTCTACCACTGAGGCACAACCCCAGCCCCTCATGTTATGATTTAAATGGTAATTTATACTTAACCTCTTTTTTGTCTTTGAATTTATCAATTTCTTTCTTCAGAAGCTCCACTCTTTGAAAAGATTCCAGGTTATTCACACTGTACACTAGAACAAAGCCATCAGCAAATGAAAAATAATGCTTTGGGAGCTCCACGCCTTCCTGTAGGCCTCTGGTGTCATAAAGATGTAACTGTTCTTTTACTCCCCGATCTGTTTCCACAGAAGCCATGTATACATCTTCCATTGTTTCACAATCTTCCATTCCTGGGATTAAAAAGAAATTGCCGTTTTTAGATAAACCAGTGTCAGTTATTCAGTATTTTGTTGTCCTTTAAAGTTTTCCTATTTTTGATATATAATAATCACATTTCTACTTTATTAATGACTTCTTGAATAAGTAGCTGTTCATAATAAATTGACAACATGACTTTTGAAAATATTTCTTTTGGCTTGGTGCAGTGGTGCATATCTATAATCCCAACAGCTCAGGAGGCTTAGACAAGAGGGTCACAAGTTTGAAGCCAGCCTTAGTGATTTAGCAAAGCCCTAAGCAACTTAGACCCTAACTCAAATAGGTGCTGGGGATGTAGTTTAGAGGTAAAGCACCCTGGGTTAAGTCCTCAATATATGTGTTATAAGTATCAATTGTAAAAATCAAAAGCATTTACTACCTAGATTGGAAAGTTCAGGTTGATTTTAAAAAGCTTCAACTACTAAGTGGCACTTTTTCTTCTCCATCAGAATTAATGACCGGATCTGGAATGAAATTTGCCATTTTCTTTCTTTTTTTTAATTTGTTGATAGACCTTTATTTTATTTATTTATATGTGGTGTTGAGACTCGAACCCAGTGCCTCACACATGGCCAGGCAAGTGCGCTACCACTGAGCCACAACCATAGACTCAGCCCAAATTTGCTGTTTTCTATAGAACTTCCCAGGTCTTTTCTTTAAAACTCAAAACTACACTCTGTGTCCCAGTACTGGGCCTTTAATCCACAAGTACCTACTGGTCACTTTTATGTGAATGTCCCTCAAGCACTTCAACTAATATTTTTGTCATCATCCTTCCATACCTGTTCCTCCTCCTTTGCTTTCTTCCCTTGATCACTAATTACTAGGATGTCCTCRGTTTTTTATGAGCAAAAGCAGAAGGTTACCTTAAATCATCCACTCTGCTGCTAAAATACCTGCTTGATTCCTGCCTCCTATTTCAACTGGATTGCTACCTTCACCTGAAGTACTGCGATAGATCAGTGAACACCTAGTAAATACCTCAGACCCTTTGAAGATGCTGCTGAAATGTCAGTCATGTGGACCTTCTCTTAATTATCCCATTTTCCTCCTGCTACTACTGGGCCTTGAACAGGTAATACCATTTTATACTTCAGTCTTTCCATATCCATCCCCTCCAAGTGGACCTTGAGAATCTAGACTGGTTTATCTTTATAACTCTGACAATGAACAAACTTACATTCATAGAAGGTCCTTAATACATGTTTGCTGAATGAATGGCCTCATAACTGATAAGCCAATTTCAGTTCTCCTCTTGCCTATGATCTTTTAAAAATGCATTTTACCACTTTGTTCCATGATTGCAGGTTGTTCCATTTTTGCAGGATTTGTCTCTTCAATGAGTCTATAAGTTGCTTAAGTGAAAGGACCCATTCTGTGTATGCTGTAAATAGTTAATAATCCTTTGTTGATATAGGAATTAAGGGAAGAAAATTAACACTTAGAATTTTTATGAGTAGAGCAGAGACATAAGATAGGTATGATTATGKTCCCAATAACCACCTTCATATTTAAATTTCATGTTTAAATATGAGCTATATCCAGAGAAGAACTCGTGGACTAACACACTATACACACACACAAACTGTCACATTTGAAATTCGGTTATGGTTTTTCTAAACAACCTAATACTATTGAATAACTTATTCCAGATGCATTATATGAAATGTTCATCAGCTGTAAATAAAATCTCCATTTTAAAAGGAATAATCATCTAATGATTAGATCATGAGAATACAAGAATTTACCTTCATCAGCCTAACTTTTTAAGGARCATGGCTGGTGTTTAATAAGGGAAAATTCTAAGTTTGATTATATGAACTTGTGTCTGTGTCATCCTGTCATAAATTAAGCTGTCATAGATTAAGTTAATAATTTTAACTGGATAGCTAAGGGCTATTAAGACAAAGTTATTGGGCTTTGATTACAAGGAAATTTAAAAGCAAAACTTTTATCCACCAACAGGAAAGTTTGACCCTGCCATTAGCTCTCTAGATCTCTTCACTGCTTCAGGCTGCTGAGGAACTACCCCTTCCCACCAACACAAGACTAAGGATGCAATCTCCGGAGAAGGTATAACAGAGGATGCTTAGATTAAGACAAGAGGAGAGGAGTTGCACAGTGAACACTAGCGGAGGCAATCAAGTGACATAACTGCACATACAGGGCACACATAGTAAATGTTGAACTCTTCCTACCTCCACTCTCTTCCCTTTCTCTGCTCCTAAAACTTTGGCAGTCAGGCCTTTACTCTAATGCCGAAGAATGTGACCAGTAAAAAAGGAAAAATTTTAAATGTATTGATATCTAGGGTTTCCCAACAAATGCTCAGTCRGATCCCTTTTGTGAAACTCACAAAGTCATGAACCCTGTCCATTTGCTTAGAGCTCCCAGTTAGCTCTGTAGGCCTCCATTCTTTATTAGCAGATAACCAAAGTTTACCAGACAACTGAGGAAAATAGACTCAAAAATCAGAAAAGGGTTGGGACTCAGTGGTAGAGCGCTTGCCTAGCACATGCAGGGTCCTGGGTTCAATCCTCAGCACCACATAAAGTAAAGGTATTGTGTACAACTAAAAAATAAATATTAAGAAAAAAAAAAGAAAAGAGCACTTTGGGGGAAATGGACTGTGCAAAAGAAAACAAACACTACCTAACAACAGGGAAACTAGATAGTAWAACAGTTCTTATTTCACAGATGCACTAAGAAATAAGAAATAAAAATTCAATGAAAGGACTGGGAAATATGAGGAAATACCACCTAAAATGCAGAAAAAAATATTAAGAAAACCAGAGGATTAGTCTAGAAGGTCCAACATCAATAGAGTTCCATAAAGAGAACAGAAGAGCATCCATAAAATAATTCAGAACTGAAGAATATACATCATATTGAAAGAAGCCACAATGCCTAGTACAATGGATGAAAACAGACCAGTTTTATGACACATCACTGTAAAATTTCAGAACAGTGGTGTCTTGATCCATTTGTGCCATTACAACTAGATCCCACAGACTAGGTAATTTATAAACAACATAAATATATTTCTCACAGTTCTGGAGGCTGGGACATCCAAGATCAAGGCACTAGCAGGTTTGGTGCCTAGGAAGGGCCCAGTCTCCTCTTCCAAGGTGGTTCCTCATTGCTGCATCCTACAGAGGGGTCAAACACTGTGTGCTTACTTGACAGAAGGGGAAGACGGCACTTCCTTCAAGCCCAAGTTTTTTTATAAAGTTGCTAAATCTCACTTGAGGGCAGAGCTTTCATAGTTCAATCACCTCTTGAGGACCACACCTCTTAATACTGTTGGAAAGGGATTAAGATTCACCATGAATTTTGGAGGGTCACTATCATTCAAACCACAATAAGTGGGGACACAGTAAGGCTTCAGAAGCTTCCACATACAAAGCATCAAGAATCCTAACGGGCTGAGGATGTGGCTCAAGCGGTAGCGCGCTCGCMTGSCAKGCGTGCGGCCCGGGTTCGATCCTCAGCACCACGTACAAACAAAGATGTTGTGTCCGCTGAAAAAAACTAAAAAATAAATATTAAAAAATTCTCTCTGTCTCTCTCTCTCTCAAAAAAAAAAAAGAATCCTAACAGTTCCCAGGTTCTCAGAAGCAGCACAACATTCTACTTTTTGATTCATATGGTGATTATCCAAACATATGGCTTATAAGTGTGCGTTTAAAAAGTATTCATTTTAGTAAGAGGAGAAAAGATGACACTAGACCAGTAAAGCTTTCAAAATTCTGAAAGAGTATTTTCAACCTAGAATTCCATACCCATCAGAATTATAATTCATATGTGAGGGTAAAACACAGATATTTTCAAGCATGCAAAGCCTCAAAAAACAGTATCGTTTATATTGTCAAAATGGTTAATAAAAGAAATGTGCTCTAAGCTACTTGCCAAAAATAAATACTTTAATACTTTGTCGATCCATATTTACTTATCTCTTACATAAACCTCTTTTGTAATGTCTGTCTGCCTTACCATGACCTCCTTAGAACCAAAGATACTTCACCTCTGTAACTCACTGAATGAATAATCCAACTCACAAAATTAAGTCATAGTACAGCAAACAGCTATATCTTCCATTTTTAAAAATCTACAGAATACTCTTAGAAAGCCATATTTCCAGTATGGATCATTCCAATGTATTCTTTCTCTAGACCATCATTTTTTTTTATAAACACATAGAAAACCACATACATACAAAAGAATATATATTCATATCCACCAGCCATTTCTTACCTGTTTTAACAACCACTGCTAAATTTCAATAAAATCAATATTTTTTCCTCTCCTCTATTCTCTACTTCACTTTGGTGTACCATCACCCATCTTTAGTTTAGCATAACCAACAAAAACCCTCCAGAGAAAAATAATCTTACCAATAGTATGATTCCCATAAAGGAGCTGCTCCAAGATTGCGGTTTTCCCCACAGACAACAATCCACAAACTACAACCTTGCATCCCTTTCCCATCTTCTCTCAGGATATCACTGTGAAGAGAATGAAAGCTCTTAAAATTGTATACTGTTGGGCTGGGGATGTGGCTCAAGCAGTAGCGCGCTCGCCTGGCATGCGTGCGGCCCGGGTTCGATCCTCAGCACCACACACCAACAAAGATGTTGTGTCTGCCGAGAACTAGAAAATAAATATTACAAATTCTCTCTCCTCTCTCACTCTCTCTTTAAAAAAAAAAAAAAAAAAAAAAGTATACTGTTGAAGAGCTGGGCACCATGGCACATGCCTGTGATCCCAGTGACTTGGGAGGCTGAGGCCCTAACCAACTCAGTGAGACTTTGCTCAAAATAAAAAGGGCTAGGGGTGTTGCTCAGTGGTTAAGCGCTCCTAGGTTCAATCCCTGGTACAATAAAAAAAAAAAGTATACTTTAGAAACCAGTATACTTTTCTTTTAAGGTTGATATTTAATCAGTTTTGTATATATAGGGGAAATTTCAAATATTAAAAAAAGGATAAAATAAGGTATATCCTTCCAAACCCCATTCCCTTAGTCTCCTATTTGCCCTCTTAGGGCAATTAGTTTTACAAGTTTCTAACATATCTAATCTAGAAATACTGTAAGAATAGATAAAATTGTATGTGGTGGTACATGCCTGTAATCCCAGTGATCTGGGAGGCTGAAACAAAACTAGCCAAGTTATATTGTTACATATATACATATACAAATACCTGAAATGGAATTATGAATTCTATTATGTATAATAATGCATCAAATCAATTATAAAAAAGACTATTTACTCATCAATATTTACCTGAGAAAATAAACATTTAAGTAAAAATTTAAGAAAGCATGAAGACAAATTTTTCGATAGAAAATGGATGGACTTAAGACTTAATGTTACCATGGTCTTTTCTCAAGAATGTGAAAARCTGGATTTTTGTAGCCAAGTATAGTCATACTTCTTTTTGAGGAATAGACCATGAGAGAAAAATTGCCCAGGCATTTTAAACTAGAAAAAGAAAAATTCCTCTCTCCTAGCTTCCCAACATATTTGCAAGGAAGAGCAAGGTCAAATTCCCTCAGGGCTTTGTTTCCCAGAAGGCAAAGGACTAGACGCCAAGGCATAAAGGAAAAAGACATATTAAATATTATAATCTGATTCGATTTTTGCCATCGCACAACATCTCCTTTCCTCCCAATTCTCTTCTTTATCTACAAGCCCCTGGCTAAAAGGGATGCTACAACTTCCTGTAGTCAGTCAGAAACAACTATAACAAAAGGGATTCTGAGCATCCTTCTGTGCTCATGTGCTAACTGGACTATGAACTAAAAACCCAATGCAGAACACATTTTAATGGACRCAGAACAGTAACACCTTTGTATCCATGTGTGTCCCACAACACAATTTTTTTTTCCAACTCTGACAGCATTAAAGAAAAAAATTAACTTTCGTTTCTCAGGTTTCGTCAAGTTATTTGTACTTGTTCAAAGTAATTTTTTAGGACCCAAATTACCCACAAGTCACCATTACTTCAGCACAGTAATAACACGATATTCATTTCCAGAGCAGTGCATTGTACTTTATCAGAGAAAAATTACTATCCCTTCTATGATGTAACCATTATTTCTTGGGTGACAAACCCAGCAAGTAATCCTTCTAGGTCTTCCAAGAATATATATTACTTGCTCCCATGAATATATATTCTTTTAAGAGACTATCTTCTTTGTACTGTCAATCAACATAACTACAATACAAAAATCCTCAGCCTTTATAACGGCAAAATTTTATGTACCATTGATCATCTATAATGTTATCTCTCATGTCTGMAACTATGGCCTATTTTAGAGTCTTCTACACATAACTCTGTATTTATAATTARTGTCACCTTACTTATCATAGGATTCTACTCTTTCTGCATATTGTGATTTCTCTACGTTATGATACCATTGAGCCTTTCTTTTAAACAGCTTTTTAAAGAAATATTTATTTTTTAGCTATAGTTGGACACAATATCTTTATTTATCTTTATGTGGTGCTGAGGATCGAACCTAAGACCTCACACATGCTAGGCGAGCGCTCTACCACTGAGCCACAATCCCAGCCCCTTAAACAGCTTTTTAATAGCTAAAATTTAAAGGAAGCTGCCATCTAGCCATGTAAGAAGAATTTAAAAAACAAATTAATGTACCAGAGTATAAAAAAATAATGGCAGTGTAATACAATTCTATAAGAAAATGTTGTTGCTGGAATCTAAATTCTAGATTTTATATTGTTAATTCCTTTCCTCTGAAAATGTTGGAACCAGTAGAATTTCTAAATACCAATCCCTAYCTCCCTCCTCTTTGTTTAATTTTTGGGGAAAAAATGCCCCTTTACCATGTTATACTATTCCAAAATACTCAACTGTTTTAAAAAAGGGAGGTGCATACATGAGCCAAGAGAGGTACGCTTAGCTATAAGTAAAAAYACCCAAAGATTAATAGGAACAAGCCATCTGTTAAAGTGGGGTAAATACAAGCAAAGGGGACTATAGCCAACTGAAAAATGTTGAAAGCAACAGAATTCTAAGAAATTTGGAAATCAAATACTGTATTTCTAAGAGTCTTAGAAAGTGGTCTTAAAATGTTTTTTCAAAAGTATTATACTATGTTGGGTATAGTTGAACACTCTGGTAATCCCAGTGATTTTGGAGGCTGAGGCAGGAGGATTTCAAATTTAAGGCTAGCCTCAGAAAGTTAATAAATGAAAATGAAAAAGGACTGGAGACTTAGATCAGTGGTAAAGCACCCCTGGGGTTCAATCCCAGTACAAAAGAAAAAAAGAGTAGTACACAATTATATTTCAGATTGCTCACTGATACTAGGACTAACAGATAAAGCTTGTTAAAAATGTGTTTTTGGGGACTGGGATTGTGGCTCAGTGGTAGAGCGCTCCCCTAGCATGGGCGGGACCCGGGTTCGATTCTCAGCACCACATAAAAATAAAGGCATTGTGTTGTGTCCGTCTACAAAAAAAGAGATTCTTCTCTCTCTTAAAAAAGAGTTTGGTTTTTGTTAAAAATATATATTGTATTGATGCATTTAAGTACAATAAATTAGTGTTTACTTTGCTACTACTAGAGAAGATTTCATCAAGGGCAAACAGTAAAAGCAACTGAAAGGAGGTGGCTCCACAAAGACCAGCTATGACACAGGTGTGATGATASATATCTACTGCGCCAGCTACATACATGGGAGACAGGCCAGAGGATCACTTGAGCCCATGAGTTTTAGATCAYCCTGGGCAACAAAGAGAGACTCCATCTCAAAAAAAACAATAACAAAAATAAATAAGTTTTTTTATAATATTAATTTTTTTTAGAAGTAGTTGGACACAATTCCTTAATTTTATTTATTTTTATGTGGTGCTGAGGATTGAACGGTCGGCACGTGCTAAACAAGCGCTGTACCGCTGAGCCACAACCCCAGCCCTAAACAAAGTTTATTTAAGATTTTTTTTTAAGGAAGGAAAGAAAAATAAAGGAATAAAACAGAAGAAATCTACTTAAATATTTTATACTATCAAAAGGAAAGCAGATGAAAAAATAAGTGTTATCAATCAAACATGGTTGTAAATATCCTAGGTCCCTAGTTATCTTCCAAATGGGAAAAAAAAAAACACTACCAAAAAGCAGATAATTAGTGACCTATTACATCAATTAAAATGAATGAATTTCTTATACATTAAGTATTTTTAAGGTGTTATGGTATAACCTATAACAGAAAAATGTTTGAAAATCTGTACCATTTTCATTATTTTCAAAACTTCTCAAGGGCTAGAAAAGGCAGACACCACCTCCTTAACTATCTATGGCATGGAAAATCTCCCCAGGGTAAAAACCTTAAATTTTCAAGTGGGTGGGTAGGTGGGTGTGCRTATGTGAAGGGGTTCCAATTCAAAATTTGTGAATTTCTCTACATGGAAATAAAGATGATTTTCTAAATATCCAAAAAAGTATGAATTATTAAAGATCTAATATAACATTCTAAATAAATAACATTAAAATATAGATAAATAAGTATATTTCATAAACAATATGTATATAATTTCCTCCTAAATACAGAAACGATCACCTGTAGTACCCTGAATGGGTAATGAGTGGGATAGATCCTGAGAGTGGCCAAGCCTCTTAAATGTAGTTTCAAGAGTTTGGAGGTTCCAATCCTCAGCACCACATACCAACAAAGATGTTGTGTCCGCTGAAAACTAAAAAATAAATATTAAAAAAATTTTTAAAAAATGGCTAAAAAAAAAAGAGTTTGGARGTTCCAGAGTAGATGGAAGACCATTAGGTTCCCTTCAGTGTTGTGATGCTATAATAGGGGAAACTGCTTATCCAGAATGTACATCAACACTAAAGTTAATACAGAAAAAAAAATACCAGAAGTTTTAACTACTTAGTACAGTCCTTACCTAAAAAACTGCTGAACATAAAATTTAATCTGTGACCATTAAACTTCATCTGACAAATATGACTAAGAGTACATGCTTTACAGGCAAAATCCAATGTCMTCTTTAATGCATATTGCTTTCCAGACAAATCAATAATGTTGCTAGAGAATAAACACATGACTCAGTCCATTCCTATGGAAAACACTGAGCTTTGTCAACATTCATTCTCTTTGAAGAGCCATCAGAAACAGCTCCTTCAAATTACCAATGTTTATTCTTCTGCATGAAGGGATCTTTCTAGTTTTATAAGTTTAACACAACTTTTCTATGCAACTAGAAAAATAATACTGAAGCACAATATCATAGGAGATGTTATAAATCTTTAAAAAAGCATAAAACTTATACACTGTGTATTTTCTTGTTTAAACATTATGTATGGCATGAAACACTTTTATTCATGTGTTTTACATACATATTCAAAGAGTTTTATAAATAATATTTACTTAGTAAAATATATAAACAGATTCCAGCTCTCAATTCACTTAACAAATACTTACTAAGGGATGAACGAAAGGGCAAAACCAGAAAAGATCACTGTGGTTAGGAATCTTGAAATCAATTGGAAATACAAATCCTATTAAACTGATAATTGAGGAATTGCAAATTGAAAAATAAAATTACAAAATCAATTGATAAATTAGCAGAGATTATTCACATTGTCTGATTCATCTTTCAAATGATTCATCCAACCTGGTAGTGAACCATTCTCAACTCATTTCTTTCATACTCCACATCTGATTCATCAGTAAATCCTACCTATTCCTTARAAATATAGCCAGAGTTACATTTATGACCACCTCCATTACTAYCAAAGTGGCACCATCTTTTCTCACTTGGTCTACTAAGGATATCCCTAACCTCATCCCCAAAACCCATAAGTACTTTATCTAGTAAAAGGAATTTTGCAGGTCTGATTGAATCAAAAATCTTGAGACCATCATTATAACAGGAGTGTCCTAGAAGGGAGGAGGAGGAGTGATTGAAAGGTTCAGGAAGCAGTCAGGTGCCAAGTAAAGAAGACAGCCCTCTAGAAGCTGAATTCTCCAGATGCTGTGCCTCCAGAAAGAACACAGCCCTACAGATCCCTGATGTTAACCTAGTCTTATTTCTGACTATAAAATTAACTACACTGATAAATTTGTTATTGAGTCAGTAAATTTGTTCTAACTGGTTACAGTAACATTGGGAAATACACTCTCCTAATTAGTCTGCTTCCATCTTCTCTTTCCTTTTAGCCTCAAAGCAGCAATCCAAGTTATTCTTTTAAAATGTAAACCATGTGCTCAAATRTTCCAATCTACAGCTATGTGGAATCTAAGGTTCATATAAAAACCACCTCTCTGACATCCTATCCCTCTTTCTCCTAGGGCTGATTCCAGCTACATTGCTTCCTTGCTATTCCTCTCTTAGTCCTGGTATGCTTCATTTTAGCCTTATCACTCTTCCCTCTACCTGAATCAGTGCCGCCTACTCAGCTCTTTATCTTGAGGGTGGTAGTGGTGATGTTACTTTAGATGCTGTGGACTGACCCCACCTCATGCTACATGCTAAGMTCACACTACCTCTTGGGTTATGTCCCCAGACTTGAGGTGTATTCTTAAATGTTAACCTTCAAGAAAACTTATCCTGAACATTCCATCCAAAATTGCAGCCTCCACCAAGTATGCTAAAAGGATAATCTGGTGAGGTCTTTAACTGGGAGATASCATCTCCCTTTAAGCCCCAGGGAGTCCCTGGCACAATCAGCCCAGACCTGGAGCCTACTAGGCAGGCTGCCCTTTCTTCATGGTAATCAGGGCTCAGGCCCATAGGTGGAAGGTGCTGACAGAAGACAGCCTAGATCTCATGCAGCAACCTTCACCTCAACACCCCTTCCACTTTCCTTGATGTTCTTCCTTAGTATTTATAAAACATCAAACATAATGCATAGCTTATTTATGTTCATTTGTTTCCAAGAAGACTACAATTTTTTCATTGTTCACTGCTGTATCTCAACAGATGGGGCACTGCGTGGATATATATTAGGCATTCAATAATTATTTGTTGAATGAATAAACATACCAGGGGAGTACTCTTACAATGGTAAAGCTGTGGGTTTTTTTTTTTGTTTTGTTTTGTTTTGTTTTGTTTTTAAAGAAAAACATGAAGTAGGTAAAAGAGATAACCAAAAATCACTATTTACAAGGTAAAGATGGTTTTCTAGCCACACATAAACATGATAGTTGGGAAGGATTTGAAACCACAAGAGTTTTATCAAAAATTAAAATATTCTGGAGACGCAAAAAAGCCAGCAAACTGTATTTCTCAATAAAGAATGCAACACAGAGGCTGGGGCTCAGTGATAGAGCGCTCGCCTGGAACGCGTGGGACACTRGATTCAATCCTCAGCACCACATAAAAATTAAGGTATTGTGTCCACCTAAAACTAAAAATATATTAGAAATTAAAAACCGCAACACAAAATGCCAGCATTTTTCTAGGCATTTCTTCCCAAAACACTCGCACCTGCTAAACAGGTCTTGGCAAATAAATATTTTGCTTTTCTAAAAAAACTGGGGTTCTGATGTTAGCAAACCTGGGATCTTATCCATATACAGGAAAAGCACGGAAATGAAAAGGGTCAAGCTGCCAGCATCCACTGCCTCCGCACCGCTGAGTCGGGCCTGCAGAAGCTTCCAGCTGAATTGAGAAGAAGGGACGTARTAGCGGCCCAACCTGCGAAGATCCAGCTCCAAGAAGGCCTTTTTTTGGGGTGAAGAAGAGTCGGGGCCCAAATTTCTGCGCCCATTCTGGGGAGTGGGGCGGGGAGCCAGCGCAGTTTGGGARGATCGGCCGCGACTCAAGAACCCGCGGCGCGCGAAACAAACCTGTCCTCCAGCAGACCCTGAAGGCAGCAGCGAGGCTCCTYGGCTGTTCGCAGCCACTGGCTCTATAGCACCGCCTCCAACTAGCCGCCTAGCGGGGCCGGCTGATGGAGACCGACGCTCGCAGTCCAGCCAAGACTCCAATTCTCTCAGCCTCCCGCAGCCCCTGCCTCTGCAGGCTGGAATCCTTCAGAGCAGGGGGGCGGGACAACAGGAGGCGGTGCCCAATCGCGGCCGAATTCCGCCCACCGGCTTGAGGCCGGAACTACATATCCCATGAGGCTGTGGGCGGCCTCAACGCTCCACCGGAAAGGGGCTCTCAGAAGARGGGGAGGAGCCTAAAAGGGATTGTGGGAGAAAGGCTTCTTCCTTTCGGTTTCGCGGCAGCCATCAGGTAAGCTGGGTGAGAGATCTTAGGTTTTCTATCCGCGGCTAATCGCCCTCTGCCTCAGCCATCCGGGCTTGAAGACCTTGCGCCCTCGGAGCTCCTCCTGCCTCTTGTGCGGCGAGAGTCCAATTAGGATGCTGGGCTGCGTGGGCATGGAGAGGTGTTCCCCTTAGCGGGGTGGGGGAAGACGCGATGGCGGCGCAAATTGGAGCTGGGCCGGGAGCCTGAAGAAGGCGTGGGGCTGAGGGGAGGGAGGCTCGGCCTCGAGCGTTCTTGAGCTAGGCTGACTGATTGGGGAGGGTAAGTGCATTTTTCCTTAAGAGTTAACTTCAGGCATCAGTAGAACCATTTATTTACTGTGGTGTCAGCGACATCACATTGCGGGCTGGGCCCTTGGGGACACGCCGCCTGCCGTAGCTAGTTGCCCCTCGGTGCCCAACCAAGTCTGTCCATTCATCAACGAAAATAAAGCCGAGTGCTCCCCCGCGCTTTTCGTGCCGAGCTTGCAGAGGTGACTGAACGCGGCCTTAGAGGTGGGGTTTAGGCTAGCTGTYGCCTGCAGATGGTGTAGAGCCATTTTCATTCCCAGCGGTTCCCTTGTGTTGGTGGGGAACTAAGATGGACGGGCGAGATCTCATTGTACTTTTAGCGGCTGCTGTCTTTTAATGCCCAGTTACATCTCGAAGGTAAGCCAAGATGGGCGCGTACAAGTATATCCAGGAGCTATGGAGGAAGAAGCAGTCGGATGTGATGCGCTTTCTTCTGCGGGTCCGCTGCTGGCAGTACCGCCAGCTCTCGGCGCTCCACAGGGCTCCCCGCCCCACTCGGCCGGATAAAGCGCGCAGACTGGGATACAAGGCCAAGCAAGGTGCGTGTTCTCGTGGCTTGAAAGCTTGGTTAAAATTGCTACTCGAAACAGTTAGAAACCGGTGGTTAGGAACACACTGTTGCCCTATTGTCTTCCTTCGGAGTGCTTTGGCTAGATCAATTTGCTAGCACCTTCCGCAATTAAACTGGTTAAGTTATGGTGCACTTTGTCTGGAGTGGCAACTGTGCAGAAGATGACAAATCTGTATCTAGGATTAAAAATAATCTTCTGTGTGATAACTGTTTTAAAACACTGAAGGTTTTTTTTTTTTTTTTTAATAACCTGCTCTTTTTATGTGTATAGGTTATGTCATATACAGGATTCGTGTGCGCCGTGGTGGCCGCAAACGCCCAGTTCCTAAGGGTGCCACCTATGGCAAGCCTGTCCATCATGGTGTTAACCAGCTAAAGTTTGCGCGAAGCCTTCAGTCTGTTGCTGAGGTAAATGGGTTTGAGTTGACACTTTTTTTTTTCTATTAGAGATGGTAGGCAAGAAATATTTGAGCAAATTTTCTGATTGTACCTAGGGAATCTATTGTGTATAAGATGAGGTCTTTACCAATCTTGGAAATTAGGAGTTACTGTCAAAAACTGTCAGTTTTTGTTAATAATCTGTGCTTACATAATTAATGAACTTGTGAAACTTAAGCTTTCAAAAGGGCAGTAAACTTTGTTTACTGAGGGGGTTGCATTTATGTTGCTAATCATCTGGTCTGTTGCTGTTTTTCTTCAGTTATACTCTTGTAGGGGTTTGCAAATTGTAAGCCTTTCTCCATAAGGTTAAATTTTTTTAAAGAAGTAAATACGCAGAAGAAATTCAAGACTTGTAGAAATTTTGCTGAATTGAGGCTGGGGGATATAGCTCAGTGGTAGAAAGTTTGTCCAGCATGTGTGAAAAGTAAATTTGATCCCCAACACTGCAAAAAAAAGATTCAAATATCCTAAACTTATATTTGTTATCTAAGTATTAATGTTAGTGCCTTAAACAGAGAGTAATAGCAAAAGTGTATTTGTGTTTTAGCAAGTCTACTTTATTTCATGCTCATGGTGCCAGCCTCTTGGGGGGAGATGCCTAGTAAATAATTGATTAATTACACAAAAAGCTTCAGTCATTTGTCTAGTAACCTAGAGGTAAAGAGTTAGAATTCTATCTTGCTACCCTAAGCAAAGCAGGAGGCTTACCTTGGGCCTTTTTTCCTATTATAGGAGAGAGCTGGACGCCACTGTGGGGCTCTGAGAGTCCTGAATTCTTACTGGGTTGGTGAAGATTCCACWTACAAATTCTTTGAGGTTATCCTCATTGATCCATTCCATAAAGCTATCAGAAGAAATCCTGACACTCAGTGGATCACTAAACCAGTCCACAAGCACAGGGAGATGCGCGGCCTAACATCTGCAGGCCGGAAGAGTCGTGGCCTTGGAAAGGGCCACAAGTTCCACCACACTATTGGTGGTTCTCGCCGTGCAGCTTGGAGAAGGCGCAATACTCTCCAGCTCCACCGTTATCGCTAATATAAGTATGATGTTTGTAAAGTTCATACCTAATAAACAATTTAGGACAGTCATGTCTGCTTAAAGGTGTTATTKGTCTGTTAAAACTAGTCTGCAGATTATTTCATGAATGCTTTGTCAAATTATGGAAGTTAAAGTGCAATAATGTTTGAAGACAATAAGTGATGGTGTATCTTGTTTCTAATAAGATAAACTTTSTGTCTTGCTTTATCTTATTAGGGAGTTATATGTCAGTRTTTAAAATACGCTATGTGGTATAATAGGTGTCAAATTCTTTAAAAAGAGGGGTGCTGGAACTAGCCCTATAGATTTGTTTTGGTGCATGTGACAAAACCTACAACTTCATTGGGATGATGTAATGCTCCACTAGTGGTTGGGCTTTTTGGAGTGTGGCGGTTCAAACTTTAGAATTTGATTAAGATGGGAGGAGGATATCCTAATCCTATAACATGGTTATGTGCATTCAATTTTAAAGCCCACATTTTAAAATTTAACTGTTTCATTTGTGTAATTGCTGCTTCTGAAAGGGGAAAAGCTTCCCAAATGCAGTCAGACTTCCAGAGGAATAAATCTGTTAGAAAATTAAAAGAATCTTAGAAATTAAAAAAAAATCTAGGCTAAACAAAATTGCAAAAGTCTTCACCATGTCCTATAAGTTCACATAAAGAGTAAAATCTGGTTTAATAATGTGKCTTGGTGGATCCAGCATTTTGAACTTGTTGCAGCAGTTTTCTGTGACATTTACATCAGTGTATTTTTGAAACAGATTCCAGTATTCATTGTTTAACTTAAGATTTGTAGGCTAGGGTGGGTAGCTGGTGAATTGGTGGCTTTTGCTAAGTATTTGCAAGATTAGAAAAAAGTCCTGATCAAGATTTTTAAAGTACATAATGCCAGTTTGAAACCATATTGAATCCTCAAGCCACATGTGCAAATGTATGTCTGGCTATTTAAAAGCACTTATTTGCTCAGTCAAGTCACCAGGAACTCAGACAAGGGTACTTAAAAAGTTGTTACCTGCGTAACTTTATGTTGTGTGGCTATTTTTCTCATTCCTGGTGAAGCAATCCCCCAAATCTTTGAGTTGGTCCATCAATCAAGTATATTACCACATTGTTTCATTTCTGTTAATCTTTTCCTGTAGATTAGGCTGCTCTTTCCTAGGGTGAAGTTGAATGTGGAGGAATTGCCCTTTAGTCTTCAAATTCTGGATTTGCTGACATTATAGGTGTTTCAATTTTAAAATCTAATTGATGCCCTTCTTGAACTGATTTTTCTTAAGCAACTTCAAGTCAATTGATTTCCAGGAAATAATCTGAAGCAGGCTCATAAAGCCTTGAGAATCAAATTCCTTTTTACCCAACAAAACAAAAAGCCCATACATTTTCATTGTGTGTAGAAGTTGTTCAACTAAAGGAATAAATGACTATTAAACAAGTGAACCTTCTGTTATCTTTTGTCATCTAGTACAAATGCTGTGCTTTAAGGTAAACCAAATAACCTACAAAAATAGTGGTGAATAATGGTAGGATTAACATTTTGAGGGAGAAAATGTAGTGCTTGATGCTTAAGAGTTCTCTTGATTCTTAAATTAACTAAATTAGAAAAATGAAAAACTATTCTTTATGCTAATTTAGAAAGGAGAAGGGTTCTGGTAGGTTAAAGGTCAGTGTCCCCTGTCTACAAAAATCTCTTAGCCTTGTTKATGGCTATCCTATAATTTTATCTCCACAATAGTTAAATGAATCCTGTTAATCATGACACCTTTGCTGGAAACCAAGTCCTTTCAATGGCTCCCATGTCCTTTACATTGTAATATATGATCACAGACTGTTGTAATTGGATCTCATCCCAGCCTCAGTTTCTTAAAATAATTTCACTATAATGTCTGATGGGAAAMCTCAAAGACATTAAATGTCATTTTAATTACTTCCTGATTGCTCCATGAGCTCTTCTGATTTGCTTTAATATTTGCATATAAGCAAAGTTGACAATTCCAGGTATTTAAATCGTTCTTGGTGCTTGTCTGGGTGGCTCAACCTGTAAGCAGCAGCAGGAGGATTTCAAGAGTTCAGAGCCAGCCTTAGCAACTTAGCAAGACCCTGTCTCAAAAAATAAAATGGGCTGGGCATGTGATGCAGTGATTAAGTGCTCCTGGGTTCAATCCCTGGTAACCCTCAAAAAAAAAAAAAAAAAAACTTTGTTTCTCACAACCCCACAAT